ATTTTCTTTATTATAATAATAATTATATATATTATAATAAATTAGTTTGTCCAATTAGTCCAATAAACAATAAAATAAAAGTTTTAAAAATAAGTAAAAAATTAGTTCAATAGTGTTGTTTTTTGAAAAAATACTTTTTGTATTTTGTATCTAATCAACTTTTTCTGTCTGTATGTTAGTCTGAAGTGTTAGTCCTCACTCTGTAGGGCTTGCTGATCTGCGCGCGCGGCGTTCGTATGAAGGACTGTGAGATCTGCTTCTGCCGTAACTGCGGCTGCGTGAGCGTCTGCGCTGGCCGTCGCGCTCAGAGTCATCGTACCGCGAGTCGCTGCGAGGAGAGCGCTTCTCTTTGGATTTCATCTGACCGGCAGCTGCACGTGACAACACAAACGACAACACAAATGCATGCAATTAAATAATTAATTTTCTTAATAAAATATTTTAAAATAATTTAATACATATTAAAATAATATATTTTAAAAATATATTAATTGAAATATTTAAATGCATTTAAACGGGAGAATTCACTTTTTGCAGATCAAAAACTTTCTATGAATTTTGGGCATGTAGAGAGCAAGCATCATACTCTTCCTGTCTCCTTGAGCGAACTGGATCTCGATCTGCCGTCCACAGATCCACTTCCTGTCCAGGTTATGCAGCGCGTCCTCCGCGTCACGAACGTCCTCGAACATGCTGATGCGGTTAAGGCTTTGCATTTTTACCATTCCGCCACACACAGATGAACATGCATATGACAGAAACTGAACTCACCATCTCAATATTCAGCAAAACAAGACAAATAATCATCTGAATTAACTGTGATGAACGGCAACAGGGGAAGGTGTTTGATGAAATTACTCTCAACATTTCCCAAGTGTATTAGAGAGTGTTTCTTCAACTCCAGGCACTTTCGTGTGAAGAAAAAAAAAACTAACAGAATATTTTTATGGTGTTATTTTCAGTCCAATGATGCAAAAAAAAAAATATTATTATGAAATATATGAAAATATTATTTAATTGTGTGTATTAATTTATTTTATTCATAACTATTTGTTTTGTGTGTTTAATAGACATATAGAAAATAACAGCTTAAAAAGCAAATTATTTTTAATAATTTATAATATATTAATAAACACTACAAGCACAAATGTATATAATAAAATTAATGCTAAAATAAATAAAGCTAAAAAAAGAATTATATAAAGTATATATTATAATATACATAACATATATTTTAAATAAATTGTAAATATTTTTTAATTATTAATAATTCAAAAAATAATAATAAAATTACAAAAGCACAACTAAATTACTAAAAAACTGAAACTGAATATATACAAATAAAAGCTTAATAAATTGTTAAATGATTTATAAAATATTAATAAACACTAGAAGCACTAACATTTATTAAATAAAATAAAAATTAACACTGAAGTAAAACGAAAACAGATTTAAAAAATAATAAAAATGACAAAAGCACAACACAATTACAAAACAAATAGCAAAATATTAATAAACACTAAAATTACCAACTAGAAATATATAAAAACTAAAACTGAAAAACGAAATTAAACAAATATTTTAATTAAAAAAAATCTATTATTATTATTATTATTTAGAAAAAAATTATAAAAATGACAAGCACAGCTAAATTACCAAAAAAAAAAAAAACTGAAAATATAAAAATAAAAGCTTAAACAAATGATTAAATATGAATAACTAGAAGCACTAAAATTACTAACTGGACAAACTAAAAACTATAATTGAAATAAAAAACCTAATTACACCAAGTTCAAATGAACTAGAGAGAAAGTGATGATTGAGTTCAGAAAGCTCCTGAAGTTAAAGAAAAACCCATAAACGTTGACGTGGACAGGAGCTCAGAAATCATGTGCTCTGTAATGGTAGGATACAGCGTTAAAACGGGTTACCTTTAACATGCTTGACCTTTGACCTTCAGCTTGACCTTTATTGTCTTTAACCGCCTCCCAGAAGGACTTGGGGATGTCTGTGCCCAATAACCTTTAGTCTTTTCCTCTTTCTTTGGTCAGAACGAGGCCTTGACTCCAATTTTGGTCCCCTTTGAATCTTCAAGCTTTAACTCTCTCTTTATTGTCTTTGTCTTGAATCTACTCTACATTGGCCCTTTTAAATACTCTTTGTAGGGAAGGTCTCCAGAACCGTATGTCTTTACATTTTCTGAGACAACAACAGAGGAAATATAAGGTTAGGAGACAAACATCGGACGTGTCCATGGCCAATCAAGCTTTAAAGAGACTTTACACCCAACAATCACAATCAATGGAAGTGAATGGGGAGCCGCACAGCTCTGAAAAATGACTAAAACACCATTCGTTTGTGACTTTTATGCCATATTCCAAGTCTTCTGAAGGAAATGCATTGGAATATAGTGAACTAGTCACATGGAGGAACTCTAATGGCATTCAGCAGCTCCAGTCCCCATTCACTTCCATTATCTGGAAAAGAGCAGCTTGGACATTCGGCTCAGTTTCTCTTTTTGGGTTCCACAAAAGAATCTGTCAGAATTTTTGGATGAACAATCCCTCTAAAAGTTCACAATATGTTCTCTGTTTTCAACATTTTTGCCTACAAAGGATATTGTACATATGCAAATCCTCTTGGTCGCCGTGAATAGAAGTCAACAGGAACGTAGACATCTACTATAGGTCCGTAACGACCAAACTCACGACGCAAATCCTCAGGCCTAAAGTACCGTGAAATCACAGGACATTCATTTGGCTGTCTGAGAGCCTTCCCGGAGTGCTTGGAGGAAAATAACGTGACAAGCTGGCATTGAAGCGGCACTGAAGCGCTCATATTTGCTTCTGCCGAAGCCTCAAGGCAGTGTGAAAAAAAATTAAAATCATGCTAAATTCATAAAGAACTAAATTACCCATAGACTCCATCAATCCAACTGATTTAGGCAACGTTTATAATTCTCATTTAGTTTGAAGTTGAAGCATTAAAATTACTAACTGGAAATAAATAGAAAAAAAATTAAAAAATAAAAATAAATGAATGAAACCTAAATATTAATATTTTAAAATAATAAAAATCCACACAATATTACAACAAAAAACGGAAAGTGAAAACATAAAAATAAAGCCTTAATAAACTAATTATTTAAAAAATATATAAAATATTAAAAAACACTAGAAGCAATATAATTACTAACTGGAAAAACCAAAATTTAATTGAATTAAAACCAAAATTGAAATTAAAATAAATTAAAAAGCAAAACCATAAAATAAATGACACTTACATATTAATATTTAAAAAATAATCATGACAAAAGCACAATAAACACACTAAACATAACTGAAAATATAAAAACAAAAGCTTAATGAACAAATTATACAAATGTATTTAAATGATAAAAATAAATTCTAAAATATCAATAAACACCAGAAGCATTAAAATGATTAACTGGAAATAAATAAAAACTAAATTTAAAATTTTAAAAATAGTCCATAAATAAATTAAATAAATAAAAAAATCTTTAAAAAGAAAAATTAAATTTACATTTGCAAAATAAATTAAACCTAAATATAAGTTTTAGTAAGAATTAAACAGTAATATTTTTAATATACATATTTAAAAAAAATAACAAATTACAAAAGCACTTAAAAAAACTGAATATATATATATATATATATATATATAGTATTAATAAACAAATTATAAATTAATTTGTAAATATATAAAATTAAAATATCAATAAACACCAGAAGCATTAAAATGATTAACTGGAAATAAATAAAAACTAAATTTAAAATTTTAAAAATAAAGTCCATAAATAAATTAAATAAATAAAAAAATCTTTAAAAAGAAAAATTAAATTTACATTTGCAAAATAAATTAAACCTAAATATAAGTTTTAGTAAGAATTAAACAGTAATATTTTTAATATACATATTTTAAAAAAATAACAAATTACAAAAGCACTTAATAAAACTGAATATATATATATATATATATATATATAGTATTAATAAACAAATTATAAATTAATTTGTAAATATATAAAATATAATAGTATATAAATAACACTGGAGAAAACTCTATGGAGAAAAGGAACAGGAAAAAAATCCAAATCAGTTTGCTTTCATCGAAACGTATTTTTTTGTATATTAGCTATGCTGTGTAAAGTGCTAGATATTATTAGAGATATTTTGGGAAACATATACAGGCATAACGTTTGACCAGACAGTATAAAAACACAAACATAACCCATCAAACTTTCACATGCATTAAGATCTTCAATAGTTTCGACAAGAATCGATTAGTTGAAGCACTTCATACTAATACTGGGTTAAATATTCTGACTTTGAAATCTGAGTCTGGAATGTCCCTCATTATGTATGCAGAGCTCCTCATTAATATGCATGAGTCTAATAAGAAGAAATCCAATCCTGCAGCAAATATTAGACTAAAAACATTCAACATATGAGACAAACAGATCAATTATGCAGTTATTTTTTACCATTTAATCCAGCTGAACTCTATAGTGATCAGTGGTGGACAGTAACGGAGTAGAAAATATATGCTAATATAAAATTAAATGATAAAAGTAGCCTATATAAAACTGCAAAATGAACATTCATCCATCGGTACTTTTTACATAAGTACATTAAAAAAAATCAAGTACTTTTGTACTTTCACTCGAGTAAAATTGAAAACAGAGTACTTTTACTGGAGTAATATTTTATTATACAGATCTGTACTTTTACTCAAGTACTTGATTTGTGTACTTCGTCCACCACT